ATTAGATCCGTAATGACTTATGCTAGTCCCACCTGGGAGTTTGCGGCAGACACCCATCTAGTTAAATTGCAGCGCCTGCAAAACAAGGTTCTCCGCACCATTGGCAATTTTCCAATGCGCACACCGGTCATGGCACATGGCATTCAAAATCCCGCACGTATATGACTTTATAACAAAATTATGCAGGCAACAAGCAGAAGTCATACAAAATCATGAGAATGAGAATGTTCGCAACATCAGACAAGGTGAAGCCCGACACAGAAAGTATAAGAGGCTTAAACTTGGCGGCGGTCAGGCATACGACCGTTCAAGTGACTAGACTGCCGTAGTAGCGAATAATACTGGAAATAGGGTGTAATCTGCTGTACTGAGCCTGGACTGACAGGGGCCTTGTATATATTGTACATAAAAGTAAGAAATAAGTGTGTATTGTAAATTTATGTAAATACAGACAGTGGGCATATTAATACAGACTGACTGACAAATGACACACCCGACCTTTCGTCAGAGAGGGCGCCCCACATAGACAAGACAGTAACTTTCATTCAAAAGAAATATCTTGGGGCTTGACACCAAGACAGACAGACTGACAGGCCGTCAGTTGTAACATGACTTTGACTTTGACTTGAATGTGATATTGTCTAGGGGTTGAATGCTGTCTGTTAGACCGGCGAAACAGCATGTTAGTATGTGGGATGTTCCCACATAGTATTATGAATATACATTTTCAGTGGCCAGAAGAATTACCTAGCCTTCTAAAGCCCCTCTTAACTGAGACATCAGCATTAGTGAAATGCAAGAGTCAAACACGCTATTCTTAGCAGGCATTAAATTAAGATTCTAACGATAGAAGAATATTAATATCACACATGTTCTATTATTTACAGCTATGGAGATGCCTGCTTACAGTGTGAATTAAATGGTTGCCTAGTGAAAGAACATAGATCACTTTTTAATTATAAAAGTGCATATGGATTTATGATACATGAACTAAAGTACAAGATGTAATTATATTTAGTTTTATCCTTGTGATGTAGGGTACACCTTAAAATTAAGTCTTCAATTGAATACCTGTTAATTTGTATGTGTGTTCGCAACCCTGCAAAATGCCTGTTAGGTTTTCTCAGTCCATCTGAATGCACTGAATTACTCAAGAACCACCAGATGGATTTTTCATGGAATATAATATTGAAAAATTTTATGGGAAACTGTCAAACAATTTAAGTTTTCACATAGGTCATACATATTTAATGATTACTTTCATGAAGACATTTATACATTTCTGTATGTGCCTTGCTAAATATTTACCAGACAGAAATGTTTGAAAGAAATGTTTTAAGAAAAATTGAACCCTGTATTTAATGTCTAAATCTATTTACCCATAAGTTTTAGGTTTTTCAAGATGATTACACAACAGAAATGCTATGAGTACATTTTCAACCTTTCATGTACAACAATCTACCATGGTCTCCAGATTACAATCACAGTTAATAATAATAATAATAATAATAATAATAATAATAATAATAATAATAAAAATGACAATGACGATGACAACAACAAAACAACAATAATTAACAAATCTCTTTATTTGGTTTGGACACTGTTAAAACCGGAACTCTTTTATTCTTCTAACCTAGTGTTCTCCTATATTTTCACTTTGAAAAATAAACAACAATATTAAACAGTATCTTTAATTTCCATTCATGATGTCTAATAGCAGTAAATACTGAGTCTTTGATACTGATTGTATACTCACGCTTTAAGTCTATATAATTTTGACTTCTTGCCAACTGATTCAACTATGACAACCTAACAGTGAACAGCATGTGAATTTAATGTTTTTGATTTGTTTCATTCTGGTCCGTCACACTAACAATTAGGCAAAAATAATACCGTCTAATGTGACTATTTAAGTTTTAAGTATTTTTGCCTTTGTAATTTAATGTTTGTTTATTATAAAGTAAAAGTTCATCATAGTGTTACTTTTTAATTTATAACACCTACTGCCAAATGTGCCTGTTAAGTGTACACTCTGCACTTTTACTTTATATATTTCGTTATTATGTCATCTTGTATCTAATTGTCCTCAGGAGCAGACATTTTAGAGCTTATGAAACAGCATCAGAGAATCTCAGTCTAACTGAAAAGGAAAAGTACTGATGTTTTAATGTTATCTTCTTTTAGTATTCAACACACAAAGTGAATGATTTACAGACTTGCTGCCTTTAGTCACATGCTTCTTCAATTGAAATAAAAAATTCTGATCATAATATGGGTTATAATTCAATATGTCATAGAAAGATGGCTTCATTAGAGGTTAATTTTGCATCAAAATGGTAAAAATAAGTTATGTATATATTGTGTAAGAAAATTAATTGAGTGTATCTCTCCTTCTCAATTAAATCTGTGTTCTCATGTACATCATTTAAGTAACTAATTTTATGAGAGCAGAATCTTCATGTGCAATAGTATTAATGCCAAAGCTCATAATGAGACTAAGTGGGTAATTTGTCACCACCACATGGTATATCCTTGGTTCATAGATGGAAGATCCAAGAGTAAGTAGTCATAGACAATTGACAAGTAGCCATCCTGCTTGATGGTTGAATGTAAGGTTAACAACCCCTCACTTTAAAATGTTCCATGTTAGAAGTGAACTGTGGTGATATACGAAATTCTCATTTTGCAGGTGATAAAAGCTTGTCTGAAGATTTTTCACAGAAGCATAGCATTGTGTGTCATAATGGAACAAAAATTCCACTTACTGCCATTCCAGATGATAACTGCGCACTGACTGTTGTTACTGGCGGAGAGGTGAGTTACTTGTTGTGATAAAAATTGTGTACATTTTCCATGCAAACCTTATATGGTAACCTGTGATGTCATTTTTTGTGAAAGCATTTCCCACAGCCTTACAATTCTTTCATATTTCACTTGCAGAGAGGTAAATTAAGGGAGGGTAGTTTTTACATCCACTTCAGGCAATGCAGCTATTATTCATAATGCAAATACCTCTCTGATGCTTTTCTGTACCATATCGTTTTTGATTTCAGCCTTCCAGAAATGTGACACAAAAGCATTTTCTTTCAAGGTCCCAGCATAAGCTCATTTGAGAAAGCAACAATACAAATCATTGCTTTCATTCTGTCATAAAAGCAGGCTCATGTGCATATAAGTCTACAGTGAAGTTATATAGAGCAGCATGTTTAATGCAAGAGCTGCTTGATGCTGAAGGTTTCAGAAACAAAAAATAGATTTTTCCACCCCTTCAGTCAACCCATGACAAAAAGGATTTGCCTCTTCTACTCAGATTAGTTTGTGACCAATATTGCAGCAGTTCTACTCTGTCCATTTCAAAATCTCTATTGCATAGATTTGTTATTAGATTTCCTTATTTTTATGTTAATAGTTGAATCTCAACTGTTGCCACTAACAAAATGTCTTGTAGACCAAATATTCCTCAGACAATGGACACTCTCTAACCTGATATTCATATTTTTTCTGACGAGGACTGTCTGTCCATATTGAAGGGTTTTCTGATTTTCTTCAGTACCTCCAGAAGAATAATGTGGTGTATAGACCCATTTCTAAGCTGTGACTCTGTAAACAGCGGCTGTTGTTAGGTAATGCAAACAACATACATGCACACAACAACAGAACAACGTTATGCAACCTGTTTCTAAGCACTGGATCAGTAAACATGCATCTACAGCAATAGGGTTATTGTAGGGTTATTGCTGGAAACGGTGCTTTCTATTCTGTCTGTGCAAAGTGGTTAGAAAGAAGACAATTTGAGAAATCCAGTTAGTTCAGGTTTGGCAGTTCAGTTGAGTTTTGCAAGGAGGGTGATAAGAGAGAGTTGAAAGTCTGGCTGTGAAAGAAAGAGTTAATTGTGGCTGTGAGAAGAAGACTTTATGTGTGCTGTAGTTACAATGAGATTGTTATAATTACCATCTTAATATCGATTTCCAGGATTTGAGTAGTGAATACTGAGAACACTTGGTGTGTGTTAGTGATTTGAAAAGTGTGAAAAGAGATAGTGCCATAATTACTTGTAGTTCCGAGTGGTGTGCACAAGTGTGTCAATAAATCCAATATCCAATCCATATTCTGCATATAGTCACACCCCTAAAATCTGAAATTATATAGTCCTCTGCTGGTAGCGTAGTTGGTTGAGGCACTATGCTACAAGTCTGAAGGTCGCAAGTTTGAGCCCCGATGAGGTGGATTTTTCAATTTTCCTAATCCTTCCAGGCACACTATGGCCCTGGGTTTGACTCAGCTTCTAACAGAAATGAGTATCAGGAACCTTCCTGGGGTGTAAAGGGTGGCTGATGTGTGATAACCTTACCACCATATGTGAGCCAACTGTCTAGAGAAAATGTAGGAGGCTTGAAGTCTCACAACCCTATGGGCATTCACGGCTGTTACAGGGATAGCTTTACCTGCTCCCTGACATCCAATTTACTGCTCTCGGTCATAATTAAATAGTAAGAAATAAAGAAGCTATATTTATCTGTCAGCTGTCTTATTTCCCCCAGGTTATTATCAAAGATCTTTTCACCCTCTTTGCTTTCCATACTACATCATCTCACTGCAACAACCATATATCATTCTTCACCATATATCCAATCTTGAATACTCAAATCAAGAATTATATCAAAAGTAGCAAGTCTGCGAGTTTAAAATTTGGAAATATTGAAAACTATAATATACAAAAATCTTCTCCACCATTCTTTCCCCAGTCTGTTTATCAGATCCTCATATGACATGGCATGCTTTTGTTGAAAGTTATGTTCCTGTTGGAAAAGTGCTGTTTCATTTAAGACATATGACAAAATCTTATTATAACGAACTTACATTTTATAGTTGGTTGCAAGAGGAAGTCGGTCCACAGCTGAATCAAAAGAACTCTATCTAACACTGCTTGAGCTGGATGAATGGTTTGGTTCTACCGAAAACCAATTTTGGAACATCTTTCATTTATATAAAGAATTTAACAACACAAAGGACCTTCTCTTCAGGGTAAGGCATAAAGTCATGAAAGATTTAACTTAATATTTCCAGTTCCAGCATTTTGAAAGGGTGAGAGAAATTTGTATGGCATTCTATTAAGTATAAGGCCCACTTAATCAGCTGTTCCTCAATTCTGTTTTCCTTATTACCTGCCATCTGAATTCAGATCATGAGACTTGTTTAAATTGGTTTGTTTAACCAGTAATTTACATTTCTACTTCTGATACTGGTACATAATATTACAGAATAAACTATTACTTTGGTTCTATTTCAGGGTGAAACCCTTGGCATTCTAGAATTATTCATGATAAATGAAGACAGAAGTGTACAAACTTATGCAGATCTGAAGACCAACAGTGAAAAATGTAAACATCCAAAAAAAGAATCAGGAGCTAAAGAGAAAGAAGTAGGGAAAATAGGGCTATTACTCATGCTGATAATGAGTTGCCTGTTATTCTGAAGACTGAGTTAATTGCTTGAAAGACAAACAGTGGAAGGTTATTAATAACTAAGATTAAAGTAGGAAACTATCCTGACAGGAGACTTTAGCTGAGTTATTAAATTAGCAAGTTAGTTTAGAATGTACACTACCTTATTCAATGAAACCATTAGAGAGTCACTCACTTTGCTCTTTAAACTGTTAGCATTCTTAATGACAATCAAAGCATTGATGATAAAAATTAAAGCTTGAAGTAAATTTTGATTTAGTCACCAGGTGTTAAGTTATTTTTTCATGGCTACATTTTAATATCATACTGTGTGACAGATATTGTTTTGAATTGATTTGAATAATTGTTTAATTACATTTTCTTTACATTTTGTTTATTGTGTCAGATATTAAGATGTAGCTGGTTCAAGGTCAGCCTAGAAAGAGGAAAAGCAGGATTATTCATGCTTCCTCTTGGAATTGTGCCATTGCAATAATTGTAGTTAATTATGATCGAATTTGGAATGTAGTTGTCTCTGTTAAAAATTGTTTTCTGACACAGGCATTTTCATATCCTCCATGTTTTTGTAAATTCTCTTGCATACACTTGGCATTATTGTATATGATATATACTATATAAATTGTTTCATGTTTCAAACTTTTTAGTAAGGGAGATATTTTCCAATAAGAAAGTGCACTACAATTGTAGACATATTTTAGACAAAGCCTAGTGATGCATTGTTTTCAACGTGTGTGTCAGGTTTCGAACTCGTGCTTCTTACGAGGGTTTTGGGTCTAAATTAAGTCTTATATTATTCAGGCACTTGGTAAAATGTTGATTCAGAGAAGTTTGAAGGTATGAACTGTAATTTAGTTGAAATCATTATGATCTGGAAGATTTTGCAGTATATAATTAACAGCTATTGATTTTTTGCAAATAAACTGAGAAATATGTCATCCTATAGCTCAGAAATGACTGTATTACAATTTGTAAAGTGAATAAATGGCTGTAATTATCTGGTGGAAATACAGTAATTAAGAAGAATAAGAATCTATCAAAAGGCCACGTGGTAGCTTAGTTGGTTCATAGAATATGCTGGATTCCTGATGAGGTCATTGGGTTTTTCAACAGACCTAATTCTTCTAGGCACACTATGGCCCTGGATTCAACTCAACCTCTAACAGAAATGAGTACCAGGAATCTTCCTGTGGGTAAATGGTGATCAGCGCGTAAGGCTGACAGTCTCGTCGCCATCTGTGAGCTGACTGTTTAGACAGTGTGGCAGCCTTGACATCTCACAAGCCTATAGACCTCCATGGCATGTTACAGGGATAAATTCACCTTTTCTTTAGGAATCTGTCATACCAATATTCTCACCTACATTCTTGCTCCCATTAAACTTGTTTTGGGTCACATTTCTATTATTTCCCATTTTAATCAGTTAACTGAACCTGTGAGCATACTGAAATTTAATTCTTGCCTTCCTACCATTTGCTGACATCAGCCAAGGCATTTCAAGAACGAAGAGAGAAATGGAGGCCAGAAACCTCGAGTCCTGTGGGAGGAAGCAGCCGTTGTTTTTTTTTTCCAGTGCTAATCTGACAATCTGGAGCAGCTGAGGAAAACATTAAAATCTTTCTGGGTAGCTGATATGACATCTGATATTCATACAAAGTACCTTGAAAAGCCATTTCTACGCAGTGCTATATTTGTTGCAAATTGTGATGGATTGTAGAAACATGCATTATTTTTATGAAAAAAAGTCTCAATTGGTAGATAAATTCAGCCTCCACACATTGGCAGAGCATTAATGTTAACCATGTCAGCCCCACTGACACTTTGAAAACTAAAATAAAGTGTGCAACTTTGTAGTTCACTGGTGCTCCACATACTGGCAGAAGAAGCTCTAAGATAATGCATCTTCTGTCACCTCAACTAGAGAGCCCATCAGAGGCTTGTCAGCCAAATTCTCGCAGCTTACATAGGTCCGGCCGTTTGAGAGCATGGGTCAGTTAGAATACACATGATATGGTATGAGCTTGAAATTAGTTGGGTTATACAGGCAGGCTGCAAGAAATATGGTCACATGGAATCATGAGAGTGGGAGAGGAGAAAGAACCCGGTCAGGGACAATTGAAATGATTAACAGGAAAGTGGCCCTTCCAGGACACTGGTCCTGATAGGGCCATTTTCCTATTTACTGTTCCTTCAGCCAGATTAGCCATTTTGTGAATACGATTTGAACTGGATACCTCCTAAATGCAAATAAAGTATGTTACTGTCATATCAACCTGCTTCATTAAAAGAATCAAATTATCTCTAAAACATTTTGTTTGATTACTAATATTGCTATTATAATTACATATAAAAACAGATGAATTAACAAATTATGAGGACAGTCACCTCAAAACGATGGCAAGTTCAACAGTCTAAATGTTATAAAATATATTGTAGGCAATTAGCACTGCCCACTTTGTCTAAAAAAAAAGGCAATTTATCCTTGGGTGTCACAATAAGCATTCACAGAATGTGCGGATTTAATTCTGAAATTAAATCTAATAATTTAAACAGTGTTTTCTCCCAGATGAAATACAAATTGTTACATATGTCATACAGCAGAACATATGCAATGCTAATAATATTAATGTCTTAGAAAGAGATAGAAGGATCAATAGCATCTTTATTTCAGAGCAGGGAGTAAAGTACTCAAGCCTTAAGAGGAAGAAGGAAACATTAATAGCAACAGTACTGATTTTCACTCAGCACCTATTACCTTAATTTAAATTGTGTGAGCAGAGTTCACAGTTATAAGTATATTTGTTATGAAAAATCTGAAAACTTCTTGCAACTTCATGAGATTTTCCAACAGAGATTAGTATTAAGGTCACCACACAGCGGTGTCTGAAAATTGTAATGCCGGTAGTGTTAAGTTTAAAACCCAAACTTGATTTCTTACTGGGTAGCAGTTTAAACATAATTTAGATTTTGTATGTAACATATATTTTTCATGAAATAATATATTAGACACCGTTGATATTAAAAATATTCTTATGAATACATGAATATACTAACTGGGTGAGTAATTTTGTTTTTGAGGTTAATAATAACCAATTAGCAAATACATTACTCATATATAGTAGGACTGCATTTTACATATCTTGTTGTAAGGTTTTCCTCAATTTAATATTCAAATTTGTTGTTCTGTTCCACAGAGCAAAACTATGTTTGAATTTTACTGTAATATAAAATATGCACTGTTTTATACCAGACACCTCTGAATTTCATATTTGGAAAATTAAAAGATAATGAAGTTTCTTGTGCTTAAGTAAGCACTGTACTATGAAGACTCAGCACTGGACAGAGGTGAGTAATCAGTTTCATGCCCTGACCAATTTACCCCTGGTGAAAGCCCTTGGTACCTATTGCATAGAAGTCTGGATAGGCCCCAGGGCCAGTCTGAATGTTGTGGAGAAAATTTTCATGCCCCTGCCAAGGATCCAATTTACATGGTCACTGTATGTTCGATTTCAGTAACAGAATATCTACTAAAATGAGATATATTTAGAAAAGGGGGGGGGAAATTTAAATATCTATAGTTCTTACTGAAGCATACCAGAATCAGCAAAATACAATGGTTGACAAATAAAAGGATAGATATCATATGGAGGATAAAATACAGAGAAATTGTGTTTTAGTCCTATTGGTACTACAAATGAGATTTCAGAATCAGGAACACAATCCATTTTTACTCTAAATAACTTTACTGATTAATAAGCACTGAAACTTCTACCTTTTTCTTTGTTATTTAAAGTAATCTATTACATACCATATTATACAGAGTCATGATTTATTGTTTGCCACATTTCATTAAATACATACCACATCCAAAAACATTTTAAAATGACGTATATCTTAATATAATGTATAAGTTGTGCTATTTGCCAAATTTCTGCAAAATTTGTTCTCGAGAAAAATATAATGTTTGAGTTGAGCTTCATGCAGCCTTAATTAGTGATTGCACTGGACAGATGCAGATGACATTAGTCATCTAACAACGTTTAGTGAAGCAATGCTGTACCAGATTAGTAAATTGTTCAATATTATTTTACATGTTATTATAACACATTAACGTTATATATTTCTTTTTCCCCCTCGTTGGTGTCTCCACCTTATCGTGGTGAGGGGGTTTGAGTATGCTAAGGACCCTGAGAGCTATACNTTGTTTTCTTTATAACACATCAGTTCTGGAAATGAATACAACAGCGGTCTTTTTTATTGTTAAATATGGAAATTATTGTACAGGTACATATTTATACCTGTTTTTGTATGCATGGACTGCTTCTGTGGTCTAGTGGTCAGAGTCCCTGGGTTCGATTCCCGGCCCTACCAGATATTTTCTGAGAAGTAGTGGGTCTGGAATGGGGTCCACTCAGCCTCATGGTGATAACTGGGGAGCTATTTCAAGGAAATAGCAGCTCTGGTCTAGAAATCCGAGATTAATGGCCGTGTGGATTCATTGCGCTGACGATGCAACACCCTCTATCCACTAAGTTGGCACTGCTTCACCGACAAGCGGCGGTCGCTTGGTCGATATAGTTCGCTTGTGGACTAAAGCCACGGAGAGTTTTTTTTTAAGTATGCATGAACTTATAATCAGGCGAAATACATCCTGTCAGTAACATTTTACCTATCCTGTATCTTTTTGGTGAGCACTTGCTGTATATGTCATGGTTAACACAGGCTCTATGAAACAAGTTATTTGGTTGTTACAGAAACCAAAGAAGTTGGTGCCTGTATACAAGTGTCTAGTTAAGAACCATATATTTAGAGGTGAGAGTGTTTGTGTGGAAGATGTGAAAGGGTTGGAAATTCATCATTGGCTTCAAGCAAGCATGAGGAAGCTTGCAAATAGCCATATTTGTTTGAATCATGCAAATCACTCACTAGGATCTGACAATGCACAGAAAACAGAATACATATAGAAGTATTCTGCTCCCTGAGGTAGTTACTTAGCAGTTTAGTGTGGCCTTTTAGGATTAAAATTTATTCACCATCTTAATTATCATTGTATTTTTCAGCAGCTCTCAGAAGCAACATCATGATCACCAGGTGAACTGTTCCCTCCTTTCTGGGTACATAACTGGTATCACAAAATATATAACCTTCATATATTTTCACAGTATTGTTTACTACATAGATTTCTCCAATAATTGCAGTATAGATTTGTCTAAATAGGCTGTGTGCATTGTAGAATTAAAAAGTAATGTCCGTGTCAAATTTGAATATTCCACACAGTAAACTGCTTCATATCTGTTTAAAATTTTGTTAGTCTTGTTTAGCATAAGGTTTTAGAAATCTGCTCTTTGTTTTAGGTGGCAGTTTATAATAAATGATTGAAATCAGTGCTTGAATTATTTGAACTTCTTTATCTGAAGTCAGAAGACAAGTAATCTAAAGCCAATACAAGATTTCTTTAAGGAAAATACAGTGTGCGCCAAAACTTACAGTATTGAAATGAAAAGATGTCCTGTTGATACCACTGTCTAGTCATCTGAAGGCCACTGGCATGGCAGAACCTTCTCAAATCCTGAAGAAATGGTCTTATCACCATGTCCCTGTAGAATTCTTGGGTGACGGTAAGAGCACTGCCTTCCTCATCCTCAATGAAATAGGAGCCTAATATACCATGTGCTGAGATGGCACACCATATCGTCACACGTGTACTATGTAGCAGTTTCTGGACGATAACATCTGGCCACTCAAAACCAAGGAAGCGAGTTGTCTGGCGACCACTTCTGTACGATTGGAAATAATACTGAACTATGAATATTTTTTCCTCCGTCGAGAGACCCATTTCTAACATCTGCACAACACAACTTCCTTTTCACTACTGGGAACACTTGTGGCTGGAGCTATGCCCTATCGATAAACACACATGCACGTTTGAGATGCACGAATTTCAGTACTGTTTCTTTTGGTGCATACTATACATGTAAATAATTGTTCCACCATGGGGTAGGAAGAAGCATGTTTCCTAATGGCACGCACCTGCTATGTATGCTGTTATGCCGTATATTTCGAGATTGGAAATTTAAGGCATTGCCCAAATGTTACGAGACTTGCAAAAGCGTCTTACAGCAAATAGAGCAATGATGGCAACACAAAGACCGTGTAACCAGGTCAACAATGTACTTAATCAGCAGAGATGCGTAATCGCACCACTGCAAGTTGCTTTACTAGGCCACTGGAGGAAAGTGAAATTGCTAAATGCACATGGGATGAGACGCCACGGATTCATCCACAACAAAGGCGGTTAGCCAATGGGAACCCACCGCTTGTAATTTAAGGGCAAAAGGAGGAGGTAGCTTGACTTTTGGGGAAGCAGCTGCGTTAGCAGTTTTATAGTATAAAGAGAGAAAAAAAAGATGTTGAGGGATCAATCGAAATCGTAATATCAGACGAGCCGCCGAAGGCTCTGCTCGACATGGGTCCTACAAGTGATGGTGCCGCTGCGTCTCTATCTCAAGTAAGTCACTTTGCTCATACTGGCCATGCTATTCAACTTCAATGTTGTTGTGATATGTTGAAAAGTGACCTCCAGTGTGCCCGGTGAGTTTTTAGGGTAGAGACTATGCCAAAGAGGATAGGAGAGTTAGTGTAACGAGTAATGGCCGAGGTAGCCAGTGTGGTAAATATGGTCGTTGTTGTATTACGTATTGTAATTTCTGGTAGTATGCGGAGCACGCATATTTATTGTTTATTGTTGTGACCACTGATTTTCTGATAAACATAGCTAAGCTTGTAGTATTTATAGTTTTAGGAGCATAATATTTAAAGGTGAAGCATTATGATAGGATAGGGTAAAACTGTGAAATGAATAGGAGAAGAAAAGAGAGACAGGCTTGAGTCATACACCCTCGAAGGGGAGATCATAATGAAGTGATGGCCTGGCGAATTAAGACACTATGTAGTCCCGACTGAAAGTCGGCATTGTTATTACTGTAAATATTATTGTACATAAGAGTGTAAATAGACCGAGGTAGTTAGGGTAGGATGTACACAGCGATTTTTGATTAAACCCTTCCCCCGACTGACCCAGAGCTATCCCAGTCCCGACGGAGGCAGAACTGACCCCAGGCAGCCAATGGCAGCTGCATGCAATGAAGAAGGTTCAGAGCCAGGAGAAGCCTAGTTGAGGGTAATCAAAATAACACCCCAGTCTTGGGGACATGACAAGTAGTGGGTAAAGATGGGGCAGGACCCGCTTTACGCCATTACAAAATGTGCCAGTGACAGGGGGGCCAGCCAACAAAAGGATGGCGACTGAGTAATTTAGTACTATTTTATTAACCCCCCCCCTTTAGGCATAACAAATTGGTGACAGCAGTGGAATTTAGCCAAAGGAGATGGCTGACAAAGTGAATTAGTAGTTGTTTTTACCCACCCCTGCCATCAAAGCATTACATATGACGGCAGCAATGGGACATCAAACCACACCTGTCGCCAAAGCATAACATATGGGAACAGTGGAGGTGGGATTAGCCAAAGAGAGTTGGCTGACGGAGTGAATGAGTAACGTGTTTTTCCCACCCCTGTCACCCAGGCATTACATATGCTACATTGTTAAAATATGTGTATGTATGTATTGTGACGTATTGTGCTATGGAGGACATCCCCTCCCCCGCCAGCGGTGACGTAACAACATCGGGCACTGTCGCTACTATTGTAACAGGCCAGTCAGCACTCCGCCCCCTCCCCCGCGGTGATGTAGCGGGAGATGACGCGGTTGCTACAGAGCAGTAAACAACTCTCGACAGTGTTGCTAGGCAACCTGTAAATACAGCGTCAGACATCAGTGAAAGCTATCATGTAACTGTTTTCTGTGTCGTCCGTCCTGATGCTAAACAAGGAGCAGCGAACACTTGTAGTTAGTGAGTACTGAGTATTGAGCCAGTTACTAGAGAAAGAGTAACCAGTTAATAGTTAATTGCAGTCTAGTATCTGTGGTCACATCGATGGCAGTAACTGTCAGATTGTAAACTGTATTAGTGTAAGAGCGAAGTGGAATAAATTCACTAGATCAAATAAGGTGTGAAGTTACTTGTTGCATGACATATACCCAACACGTGACAATATGTATGTATCAATATGTTAAAACCAGAAAATGTAAAAATAGCTGAAAATGTACAGAAGAATCATGGAATATGTACATGAACTATTAATAATTAGTTTCTGGAAATAACATAGACTTACTAATGAATTTACTGAATTAAATTAGAGGACCAATAAGTAATGTAAAAAACTCTGCTTAGAGTATTAGTATTAATCCATGAAGATAAGAAATTGCAATATTAATGAAGTTGTAAGTTAACAGCTAAATATAGATTTACATTTATTTTCACTTCATGGATCCAGTCATCTCGTAATATGACTGGATATAAAACATGTCACACATTACAAATTCATGATGACTACACATCATACGTCCTTGGTCCAATAAAATATATAATCAGGCCTCATGCAGACAGCACAAGTTGTCAAGATAACACACCTAGGCCATGGAAAAACCACTGTCAAATTCAGACCTTGCCATTCCACACATACTGGCCAGCCATATCATCAATACAGTTTCATTATAACATATTAAAATTCATAACAAACACAGACATCATACATACTGCCACACTTACAACAAGCAAGTCTCAACAATGTATAATACAAGCACACAGACCATCTATCAACTCTTAACTTTTGAGCCCCTTGCATGCTCGACAAATTCATCGATAGAACAAAATGAGTTACTTCACAAATAATTTTGTAAAACAAACCTAAATTTATTTTTATCATTTTTTAAAACTTAGATATGATGGCAGTATTAAGTAGCTTGATAGGATCATAAATGTGTTGAAGGTATGTGAAGGTGGTCATTCCTTCTGGTACCAATGACATATACAGAATTATTGGTTTGAAACTTAACCAAATTATTAACAACAAATATCATCAATGAGAGCAAATATACACATAGGATTGGTAGTATGTCAAGCTTTTTAAATAAATCTCTACATGTATGAATTGGGCCCACTCCCATCATTATTCTTATTATTTTCTTTTGCATAACAAAGACCTTGAGACTGTCTGATGTATTTCCCTAATATATTATTCCATATTTCACAAATGAATGATAATACGCATAATATACAGCTTTAAGACTAATTTTCATATCATACATCCTGCTGTGTTACAATATATACAACTTATTTATTTGACTGTCACAACGCAACAATAAAAGAACTTCAAGGACAATGCCCAGATATAGTTCTGCTACATGTTTCGGCCACTAGTGGCCACTATCAGGAAAACACACTTCAACAAACGTACACCACTGAACTGCAGTACGCAAAATTTTATACAATGTCATAAATCATTTAAGATAATTTGCAATAAGAATACAATAAGTAGGTTATTTAAAACTAATAAAAGTAATATATAAAAAACGAAATTAAAATTTGATTGATGTTTTTTAACATCGAATCAGTCGTTGGTTCCACTTTACATACGTATCCGTCGACAAATAGTAAATTTCAATGTTTCATTATAAAATTGTATAGGTGGCCCAATAATTAATGGAATAGTTGGAGCCTCAACATATGGAGAATTGTATGTAATGTATGGGGGGATAGTACTGCAAAGTATGCCACGAACTTTTCCCCCCCATATACATTCTAATTTATTATAAACTAACCAGCCTTTAATTCAACACTACATAATATCAGCAGTTAAAATGCCATTAAATAAAACAAGAATAAGTAAAAAAGAAATAAAGCACTAGCTTAGGATATATTTTCCTTTCCATTAATTAATTAATTCACGTACTATTGAATTAATTAATTAATGGAAAGGGAGACTATGAAAGGCGTTGGTTGCTTAAGACAGGAGGACGGTGGCCATGGAAGTCGGAATCCGCTAAGGAGTGTGTAACAACTGACCTGCCAAAACACTAGCCCCGAAAATGGATGGCGCTAAAGCTCTGTGACCATACCCGGCCGCCGGAAGGCAGGGCTTTGATGCTGAAGCCCTGGCAAGTAGGAAGGCATGGCGGTGAGCGCGGAAGGGTCCGGGCGTGAGCCCACCTGGAGCCGCTGCGGTGCAGATCTTGGTGGTAGTAGCAAATACTCAAGAGAGGGTCTTGAGTGCTGATGTGGAGAAGGGTTTCGTGTGAACAGCCGTTGCACACGAGTCAGTCGATCCTAAGCCCTAGGAGAGATCCGATGCTGATCCCCTCGTTGGTGTCTCCACCTTAACGTGGTGAGGGGGTTTGAGTATGCCAAGGACCCTGAGAGCTATACCAGCGGTAGCGTAGCTACTGGCAGGGCCTCCCTTGCTGGACAGGTCAAAGGGTAGGCATCAGACGAAGAGAGACACCGAAAACCAAAAACTGATGCCAGAAGCAGCATCATCAGCAGCGACTTGAAGCAGAGCAAATGATGCTCGAGATGGTTCAAGTTCGTATAGCAAGAGGCATGACCAGAGTGGTTTGAGTGGCTGTTGTACTGCGATGTGTAAAGCAAATGGAAAAACTACCACATTATCACTTTTCCTGGATAGTCTGTTTCCAAAAACAGAGATACCATGTATGTGACCAGAAGACAAGGAAAAAGACGTAAGAAGATGCTGGATGACCTTGGGGACAGAAGAGGATATTTTTATTTGGAGGAGAAAGTTCTAGATCACATTAAGCGGAGGAACTGTTTTGGAAGAGACTGTGGACCTGTCGTATGACAGATTACTGATGAAATGAAACGAATTAATTAATTATGTCCACATACAAATTCAAATTTACTACATAGCAGTATGTATATACATGACACCACATATAATCTTCGATCACTAGATTACTTCTGTAGCATTAAATATATGACTGCAGTTAATTAAAATGAATTTTTTAACTTCCATTGTACAGCATTTACATTTCACATATGAGAAAATATTATTACATGGTGGTGAGAAGTCAGAAGATATATTTGATAAGGTAAAAGGCACAACATTTGGAGTCATGAAAGTGGGGGACACCTACTTCACCAATTGGACATGGCATCAGAATATATGAGTGTCATCTTATATTGTCTTCCATCCATGTAAGGAAATCTGACACCTTTGTGAATGCAGTGTACTGATCAGTGAAGCATTTTGCATCCCCTTCTGGCACTAGTCCCACACTCACAATTCCACGCAAATAATATTTCTGATCCCTCTCAAATGCTATTCCTCCACCACTGTCTCCTGGGCACACACTTGTACCTGCAGGACAGTAAAGAGGCAACTCAACATTCAAGTAACATTTCACATTTGAAAAGCATCTATAGCATGTAACTTCAGCAAAAGTTGGCATATCTATGAGACATAAAAGGAAAACAATGCATGGAACAAAAGTCAGATCTTTAGTATTTGCTAAGAAGAGTTTCAATAAAATTTTTATTAATTTTTACTTATGCATAAAATATAAGCTTGACCAAACTCTAGACGTGTGTCTGTTAATCTAAAGATGAAAAATGGTCATATATACATGGGTGCAGAAATGCTTCCCTTTTGATTTATAGCCCTTCAAGCTTGCTCATCAGAAAAAATATTCAAAGTGGCCTCCTTGAGCAATGATACAAGTCTCATGGATTTTGTTAGTATGGTCTTCAGTTATCTTACGTCTTATGTATTGATTTCTGACTTAAGCCCTTCTCACCAAGTACCAGACGTATAAACTAGGAGTCAGGTTCTAAATCAAAGACACCTGGTAACTATACAGTAATGTTCATCTACTCTAAGAACTAGGGCACATACTTTATGTAGGTAACCTTACAGAAGAAAAGTCATATGTTTGAAATTTCTATCAATATATGAATACTGGAAATACGTTTAAAATATTGTCATGTGTCTCAGTGACTAAGACATGGATTTGGATTGGTGAATTGGTTTACTGGATCTTCACTTGTTGTAATTACAATCAGTTCTTACACTCTCAAGATTACTGTAACTAGAGTACACAAAGTCTTCATTGCCTGTTAACAATTCACAGTTGAATCCTCACACCTCATTTCTGTGACTGCTTCATGTCCTTGACTCATGGCTTCTCAGCTATGACTAACAGCAAATGACCTCCACTGTCTCCTACAAACTTTCGGCATGGACCCCACAGAAAATGCCTATTATTGTAGATGTGTTTACAGTTCTGTTGCTTAGCACTGGCCATGGCATGGACTACATTGAAAACACTTCTTCTGTTGTCTGAATTATTGCATAACCTAGCAACGGACTGTTTACCAAGAATCTGTCTTCATGGGACCTTGTTTACCAACCTATTGCCTAGCAATGGGTGCACACATAACAGTATATTCTAATAATTTTCCAATGATGACATAATGTTCCACATTACTATACAATAATGACGCACCCTTCTTATTACAGAAGATGGAGTACATGCTCTTTGTTCTTTGTTATTGAACAGTGATTACAAAATGTGAGTTATTATACACCAATATATTACAAAATACAACAATAAATGGAAGAATTTTGATTTTATCCCTATATGCTGCAATAACAGAATCATGTGCCGATGTATGCCTTATCTCCTGAACTTTGCTTCCTTCAAACAGTGACAGCATGCTGCAAGTTTCTCAGAATTTATTGTTTATTTCAGTAGGGTTCATTTTCCAGACTCAAGTTCATATGCTTCTCTAACCACCTTAAAAGTTGAATTCCAGTGAGGCATTTTCCATATGAACAAAAATATTTTCCATGGTAAAACTTTTACAGATTCGCACATTAAACTTTTGCTGCTACTTAACCCATCACCAGGTGCAAGAGAATTAACGAGCCTCTCTGACAGTTAGCAAAATGTGTATCCTGCACAAATGCACTCAAAGTGGTTATACCATCTTTCAGGCTACTTTACTATGGACCATACTATATTAGTGTTATAATTACTAAACATATATTGCCTGTACAGTCATGTTATGAAGTTAAGGGGCACTTAATTAAGAGCATCACAATATTGACTGCAATATCTGTTGACAGAGTGATGGATCTGTTGATGAATTTTTTTGATTATTTAACGTGGTTTAAACTGAAGAGATTTTATAGACTCAAAAGATAAGGAAAGATGGCCTTTAATGGCCATTAGGTAAGGATTTGGAAAGAGGCACTTGTGACTTATTTCATGTTGCTGCGTTGGCATTTACTTCAAGGGACTAAGGGAACTCATAGTAATATTTGTTAGCCTCAGCCAGCACAAATGAGTTACTCCAAGGAATGGCCATATTTTGGTCTTGTAAGAGACTAACACATCCAGTAAGACAGTGTACATGGAGCAGACGGAAAGATTTGTAAGATCTTATAATTATTATGTTGAATAAGGACACTGAAGAGTGATTACTGTGTTGTCAAACATTGAATCATAACATTCATGATCACTTCTGAAATCATGCTTGAAGAGTCAAAAGACTACCCTGGATTTGCTGGGGTTTTTTTTTTTTAATTTCTGGGACCATGTTGAAAGTAAACACAAATTAAAGTGCATATGGCAGACATATTAACAACCTGCACATTATATATGTTGTCTAGATTTTAATATGTACCTTGTGATACGAAGTATCTAACACTCACCATTCTGGTAGCCAGCACAGAACTTGTCTCTAGTAACATAGGACTGAAATGTTTCTGGAATGGTATTCCAGCAAGTTTGGAAGTCTACATATGGCAAGTTCGTAGTTAGCAGTTCTGTGCTTGGTTCATTATTCTGTGTGTAGCCCCAGCCAACTGTCTGCGAATCAATGAGAAAGGAAGGTAATTTTAAAGATACCATGAAGCAAAGTAAGAATTACTGTATTATTTACAAAAATATCATTCAAGCCGGAACTGAGATATCTGGAAGTCAACTGGGCGGTATACAGATAAACAAATATTAATATTTACAAAGGTATCATTGGACCAGAATGTGAAAGAAATAGCAGACAGACGTTTTCTTTTATGGTATATATGTGATATTTCAAATCTGTGGATGATGGAGGTAAATTTATAAACACATATGAGAATGTAAAAAGGACTTGCAGAAATCCAAACTGGAGAAAACATTAGAGTATTTTAAAATAAAAAATATTTATCTTTTGATGTGGTGAAGAAATATGACCTATAAAATTAGCCATAATCTATATGCACCTGCATGAATGTTGTCACTTTTACGAGGGACTTAAAATCCTTTCTGTTGAAACATTCCATTTATTCCGTTGATGAATTTATGTCCTTTTAATTCTTAAGTGAGTGTGTTATGGTTTTATGTTATGATAAATATGGTGAGTCAAATGAAAACCTTAAATTTGTAATAAAAAATCGAAATTTCACGCCATTTTCCTGTAAGTTGGTAAGCATGCTACAAACAGTGTGCAGAATGGCCTGTAGGTTGCAGCATAGTGCAGATGCACAAACACCGTCACAGCACCAGTATAAGATGGCTGCCCCACTTGAGACTTGCACCAGGGAAGAACAGCATTCTGTTATTCGGTTTTTGTGTAGTTAAGGTGTGAAACCTATTGAAATTTATTGAAGAATGAAGTTTCAGCATGGTGATGCATGTTTGTCACAGCAGCAAGTGTATGAATGGAGTAGGAAGTTTGCAAATAGTGTGACTTCAGTGGAAGATGCTCCTCATCCGGGTCAGGCACATCGAGTTGTGACTCCAGAAAACACTGCAGCAGTTGAAGCCATAGTGAGGGAAAACCGCTGAGTGACATTGAATGAAATTGCAGCAAGTTTAAACATTAGTCATGGCTCAGCATACCACATTGTGCACGATGTGCTCCAGTTTCACAAAGTGTCTGCAAGATGGGTGCCACGGCAGCTGACTCCTGAATTGAAAGACTGACGTACTGATGCTTGTGAAGAACTTCTGCGGTACTTTGAACGAGAAGGTGATGACTTCCTTGCAAGAATCGTTACTGGGGACGAAACCTGGGTTCACATCCACCAACCGGAAATGAAGAGAGCAAGCAAGGAATGGCGCCATTCTTCATCTCCAAAATCGAAGAAGTTTCGAACACAACCATCAGCAGGGAAGGTTATGCTGACTCTCTTTTGGGACGAAAAAGGTGTCATCTTGGAACATTACATGCCTAGAGGGACCACTGTCACCAGTGCATCATACTCAGATCTTCTAAAAATCATCTTCGGCCTGCAATCAAATCAAAGCGATGTGGATTGCTGTCCACAGGTATCCTTTTGCAACATGACAATTCAAGGCCCCATACTGCCCGTACAACAGTTGTGACAATCAATGACCTGCATTTTGAGTGTCTTCCTCATCCTGCATACTCACCAGACCTTGCCCCAAGTGATTTCCATATGTTTGGACCACTCAAAGAAGCAATGGGAGGAAAGACGTTCCGTTCTGATGAAGAGGTACGCCACGCGGTGCATGAGTGGTTGCGCAGACTACCAAAAGAATTTTTTCCTAAAGGAATTCATGCACTTTGTAAGCACTGGAGTTGCATGAGTGGTTGCGGAGACTACCAAAAGAATTTTTTTCTAAAGGAATTCATGCACTTTGTAAGCGCTGGAGGACTTGCATTGAGCGTGGGGGAGATTATGTTGAAAAGTGATACAGCTTTGTACCACTTGTGCACAATAAAAAATACTAAAAAAATATTTAAGGTTTTCATTTGACTTGCCTACGTATATTAATAGTTACTGACTTGTTCTATATCTGGAGGTTGTGTCAATAAATACTGATTCTTGGAACAAATAAATTGATAATGAGTGCATGTTTGGGTGTGTTTGTCTGTATTAATAGTTGCAATACAAGAATGCAGTTCTGGGATGTGTTGTCACATAGCTTTGTACATAGATAGTAATTCTTAAGAGTGAGTCACCAGGTCCCTCTGAAACACTGGTACCTATCTACTAGAACTACATGGCATTACACACTAGAATATCATCATGTTCAAACTCAATGGTATAAGAACCTCAAATGTCATAGAGAATGTAGCTGCTTACATTCAAAATCTTTCATCTGCTTGGACAGTCTTCAGTTACTAATCTCTTTAAGTTTAATTTATGGTTCTTCCTTTTTAGGCTAATATATTCTATTTGTAATATTACATCCTTTTTTATAAAAAAATTATAGTATATAGAAAAATAATATGAAATTTTAAACTCTATATAAACTTACAACCCCAAGACTTCCATTGCTCAGTTGGAAGCGCTCATATTCATCTTTCCAGTCAACACATACTGGAAGAACTGCCCAAGTCAGCTCCACCGAGACATTCAATTTCACCAGGGCAATATCACTGGTGAAGTGCAGTTTTCGTCCTCTATAATTTTCATGCACTATGATCTCACTTAACTGGGAACAAAATACAGACTTAGTAAAAGTATGAATCCATCTCTGTCTGTGAACAAAAGAATTTATTTTAGATATTGATTAATACATTTTGTAAAAATACAATAGAAAATCTAAATTGTGAAGCTCCCTAAACTGCAACGCAACAAAGAGTATCTTGGGTTCTGGAATTTATTGTGCATCACAGGCTGTATGTGCTAATCTCTACATTATAAACTTCCGTGCAAATCTGAAACAGTAAGAGCCTTAATTCTTGGTCTTGGAGGCTTAGTTCTATGAATAGGCGATTCTTATTAGTCCTCTTCCAATACACATGCCAGTACCTCTCTCCTGATATACAGAACCTCTTCAGGTTACACATGACTTGACTGACAAATGTGAGTTTCTGTAAAGACCTCCAAAAATAAATTGAAATTGCATGTGGATATTTGTGTTAGTGGGTAAGGAGACTATTTACATGGCGGAGTATGTGTGCTTATGTATAACAATCTCTGTTAGGTTATATTTCTTGCATATAGAATACCATCAAAATATATAAAATGACAAAAGTCCATGTAAAATTTGACTTCTAAGAGGGTTTGTGGAACTCAACACTTGTGCACTTCATGAACTGTCTTCTGTATTGTATTCTGGTATTAAGAAGAAAAGTAAAGTTATTAACATCATCACTAATTGGAGGTAATTGTACCCATTGGATAGGATGTTGGGTGAGTCCTCCAGAGCCAGTCTGGATGTGATACAAAATAGAAAAGCCCCTGCTCCTGTCAGGAATCGAACTCCATTATGAAGCCCACAGTCAATCACTTTGTATTTTGAAAATGTTATGAAGAAAAAGAATAAAACCTAGTAAATGAATTGACATGCACATAACAAAGTGAAGAAATACAGAGTACTGGTATGTATGGCTTGGTAAAATGTACACCTGTAATTTGCATGAACTTTATGCAGAAGGTAGGCTGGAAGCCATAACTGAATTCTCATACCTGCCGCTCCTGCATTTCAGAATCTTTAATATTCCAGTCCCTGTAATATTTTCCAGCTGCAATTCTGAAATTATCCTTGTCCATGGTTCTACCATAGGCTTCATTCCAGAAGCAATGAGCAGCTGAAATAGTGAATACACATGTTAATATTATTTATCACTAACAATGTTCTCACACTTTACAAGGCACTGTTCATGGTCCTGTACAATTATGTAGTGTACACCATTTATTTATTTCTTTGTCCTTTATACACTACTTATTAACATAAAAGATTGCCTGCAGCATTTTATAACAGTGTTATTTTAGTAAAAATCACCAAGTACCAGATTATAATAGACAGTACTGTCAATAACTTTCTTCTTTCACTTTTCAACATAAAATATATATTATGTTCAAAAACCTACAGGATATCTTAATTAGAAGATGATGTTAAATCAGACATTTTATTTAAATTGCTTTCTTTTTGTGTGAAAAACTCCAGAAATGCATACAAATTTTTACTCTGAAAATCTGAAGATGAGACCATTTGAGAGACTTGGGCATAGATGGGAAGATAAATACTAACACAGGTCTTAACCCTATTTTGGAATATTCAACTAAAGTTGTACAAGGGTCCATTACTATATAGTGTCACATTTCATTTCAATCCACATCAAGAAATAATCTCCTTTCACCGAATCATCAGCTTCATTCACTGGGCTATGAAAATGTGTTTTTGTTGCATTTTTTCATATTTTTATATGAAAATTTATATTATTTTTGGAAATATTAAGAAAATAATACGCCATTAAAGCATCAAAGAAACTGGATGTGAGGATGTGGGTTAAACCATTTATACAATAAAATTCCTCCAGTTTGTAAAAACAGTGCAACACCACATATCTTCTTAAGGAACTCTTAAAAATTTTAGGCATCTGTACAAGCTCTTTTAATTCAAGTTGTAATTTATTAAAAATTTTAATGCCATTGCAGTACACACCATTTAGATACAATGACATAGAGGAAGTAGGAAAATATAAATTTTCACAATATCTGGTTTGTACATTATGCCTATTATAATTAGTAATAAAAAGATTCCTATTCTTTAGAACAAACAACAAAGATTGAAAAAAATATATTGAGATTTCAATGGTAAAATCTCTGTCTAAAAAGATCCCTACATGAGATCCTACTTCCATATCCTGTCATTAAATGAACAACTCTTTTTTGTAACATAAAAAGTATTTTTGCTATTGGTAGATTGACCCCAGAATATAATACCATAAGATAATATAGAATGAAATAAGGAGTAATAAATCATTACCAGTGATGAAAGAGACATATAAGGTTTGACTGATCTGATCATATAACAAACCCTGGTTAATTTGTTTAAAATACTGTCAGTATGCAAATTCGAGGATAATGTGTTGTCCATTTCCAGACCAAGAAATTTAAAGTGAGAAACCTCAGAGATTACATTATAAAAGTAAGGTTTCAGTTAATACAGATTTTTTTTTTCACAAATTGCATACAATGTGTCTTTAAAAAATTAATAGATAATAAATTAGATTTGAACCAATTATAAACTATTTGAAGATTTGCACTTAGTTTAGTATCTAGAATATCAAGTTTTTTATCGTCGGCAACAAGAATGGACGTAGCTGATCCACTAATGGCCAAGGGGAGATCATTGATATACAGTAAAAACAAAAGAGGTCCCAGTACAGAGCCCTGGGGAACACCATGTCAGTTTTCAGACCAATTTGATACTAAATTATAATGAGTTGAGTTATCTTTCAGAAACACACGCTAATATCTATAACTTAAGTATTGAGAATACAAGTACTCTGAAACTCCCGTAATTCCATATATTTCCAATCTGTGTATAAGAATGTTGTGGTTGACATAGTCAAAAGCCTTCTCAATATCACAAAAGATTCCCTTAACTTTTGCTTTATTATTTTACGCAGTAAAAATTTTATTTAACAGCATTGTCTATCAATAATTTTTTTTTAAAACCATACTGATTAGGATTTAGAATTGCATATTTTTAAGATGATTCATGAGTCTATTAAACATTACTTTTCTCACAATTTTAGAGAAACATGTTAACAAAGAAATAAGTCTATAATTTGATATTAATGATTTATCCCATTTTTTATAGAGAGACTTTATTACTGGGTATTTTAGTCTCTCAGGAAGTGAACCAGATTGTATTATTTTGTTGCAAATGTGATTTAAAGGTGAACTTATGTAGGGTGCACTCAATTTTAACATTCTCAGAGATACTTGGTTGTACTTTTTTTGCATGCACCTGGGAACAGAAGATGAGAGAGAGTATGGTGGTAGGTGGAACCAGCTGTTGTGTTAACCTTGAGTGTCTTGTGATGTCAATAGCCTGCATCACGTGACCAGTATCACCCTTAACAAAATGGCCGACAACAATATGTCATTTCGCCAGCATGCTGTCATCGAATTTCTTATGAAAGAGGAAATCCCTGCTGCAGAAATTCACCAGACTTCAGCGTGCTTTTGGAAGTGTGTGCATGGGTGCGAGCAGTGTTCGAAGATGGGTGAAACAATTAAAAGATGGGAACACCAGCATCAAAGATGAGCCTCAGAGCGGTCGTCCAAGAACAGCCTCAACTGAACACAACAAGAAAAGAGTGGATGAGATCATTCAAGATGACAGGCGTGTGACTGTTGACACAATAGCCGAAAAACTTAGAATAGGGCACAGTTCAGTACAGGAGATGATTGAAAGCTTGGGCTATAGGAAAGTTTGTGTTTGTTGGATCCCGCGGTTATTGACCACAAAGGTCAGCGAAAAGCCATCACCTCAGAACTGCTGCAGAGATATCGACATGAAGGCGATGATTTTTTGCTCTGTATTGTGACAGGTGACAAAAGCTGGTTTCACCATTTTGAGCCTGAAGCAAAACGGCAGAGTATGGAATGGCAGCATTTGCATTCTCCAAAAAAAAAAAGAAGGCAAAGACAGTGGCTGCAAAGGTGATGGGCACAGACTTCTGGGATGCAGAGGGATTTATTCTGGCCGAATTCCTGGAACCTGGGCAAACCATCAATGCTGCTTGTTATGTCCAGACGCTGCACAAGCTCCGTTGTGCATTGTGTGATAAACGTCTGGGACGAAACATCTTCATCCTGCATGACAACGCTCGCCCCCATGCGGCTCGCCTCACATTGGAAGCAATTACAAAGATGGGGTGGGAAGTTCTTCCACACCCCTTCTATAGCCCTGATCTGGCACCCTCTGACTACCATCTTTTCGGATTTGTGAAGGACCAGCTGCATGGACAACGTTTTGAGACAAGGGAGGCAATTCACAAAGCAGTGCATCAGTGTCTTCAAATGACTGGAATGGAATTTTACAGAAGGGGATTCTTCAAACTCCCAGAACTCTGGGAGAAATGTGTACAAAGAAGTGGTGATTATGTGGAAAAATAAAGAAAGGTCTGTAGATTGAGGTGGTGTATTTGGTTTGTCAATAATAAAGCATGTTACTTTACAAAAAATTGTTGCTCATGATTTCAGTACGACCCTCGTATTAGGTCATAGCCACAGGAATCCTTTGTTTTAAACAAGTTAATATTTTTTTCAATTTCATTTATCATGGATGATTTATTGCGAATAGTAGGATAATTATTTGTGATAGCCTGTTCCATAAATGACAAGTAGCCAGTAGCTGGTGCATTACATTGCTTACTATTTACTGAATTAGTTAATTTATTTGCAATAGAAGTAAAGTAATCGTTAATTTGTTCAGCAACATTTTGACTGTTAAACTTCTCATTTAAGTACTGTGTATCTTCATGCTTTGAAGTTCTGCCTGTCTCCGTATTGATGATTTTCCAGGTGGTGTTCAATTTATTATGAAACTTTTTAATACAATTATCGTATGCCATTTTCTTGGCTGCAATTATAACCTTATTACATATTTTGCAATACCTATTGTAATATACCTTTATAAGTAAATTGTCATTTTTCTCATCATTAAGTATAAATCCTTTTCGTGTTTGCAAGAGTTTCTTACACCAGGTGTAATCCAATTTATACTAGTTCTCTTTGATGACATATGCTTATTTACTATAGTAAAACTGAGTTAAAAATTCTCAAATATGTCTTCAAAAAAGAATTAAATATGAGATTCACATTATTCCCACCAAACTCATCATCCCAGTTCTCAAAACTCAATTGCTTTTGGAGATCAGCAATTGTAAAATTATTAATTTTCCTATAGGACAAAGTATGGCGTTCTTTTTTATGTAATATTGGGAGGTCTATGGTAAGTAACTGACCTTCATGATCAGACAACCCACTGTGTAGTGATGAGACAAAAAAATTTCTATCTTTAGAAGTATCCATAAAGATATTATTGATGGCATATATCTAGTGGGAAAGGTAATCATGTTTATCAAGTTAAAAGTTTTAAGTAGGGCATTTAGTTGCTTGACTCTATTTGACTCTTCTAAATAATTTATATTTATGTCCTGACAAATTATTAGATCCGTTTTAGGATTATAAAGCAATTGTAAAGCTTGCTCTAAATAATTAATAAATTTAGAAAAATTCCCAGATGGTGACCTATAAATTGTTAATATATAAAATTTATTATTCAGAAGGTTTAATTGAAAAGCACATACCTCAATGTCTCTGTCAACACAGTAAGCCTCCAGATTGAAACTGGAGGAAAATATATTATCATTAACAAAAATACACACACCACCCTTCAATACATGTTTTCTACAATAACAGGCATGAAGAGTATAATTATCAATAGCATCCGATTGAATTCACTACAATTCACTAAAATAATTACAAGAGCCTGCAACTGGACTGTATCTGAGCCAGATTAATTCAGTTCACATCACACTTTGGGCCTGTTTCTTTAACACACATTTTAACCTGCCCTACAATCTATGCCTAAGAAGCCAAGTGGTTTCTTTCCTTCAAATTTTCCAAGTAAATTTTTATACATATTTTTCATCACTTGTATGCATGCTACATGCTTTACCCACCTCACATCCCTTTACTTGATCAAAAGTTGTAGAAATTTTCAACGACTCGAAGATAATTTAGGGAATTTTTATTGAATTTTGAGAATAATAATAAGAAATATTCAGATTTATAGATGTGCTAGTGAGCATTCATGTGTTAATTTAGAGTGACTGACAACAACCTGTGAGCTGACGTAAAATACTACTAAAACATGAATGTTTACAAATAATCCAGTTATGTTCTTCTGTCCATAAAATTAAGATTTCAAGTCATAAGAATATTCATTATCATTGCTTTTCCCTGTACTGGCACAAATAAACTAACTTTAAATCAAATGTAACAAAAATGTATCCAATAAAGTTTGCCTATAAATTTTATTCCTATAATTAGGCTAGTGGCCAGGCTAAGGTTTTGTTTGATCTTGGTTGGTGAGCAAATGCATGGTTACACGGTACAGAAAGTTGAATGGTGAAATACATTTTCTATTCTTTCAGAGCATAATGAATGAATGAAATTTCAAAATGAGTTAATAAAATACATTACAGAACCATTTTACTTGGATTGTATATTCATTAGGCCAATCACTATGTTCCAGATCCTTTCTATCTCATCAGTCGTTATACCATTCAACATTATATAGTCAAGATATTGACAACATTACAGAATCCCCCCAACAAGCATATACTTCTGAAAGAAACTTGGGGTTCAGATGAGAAATTACAATCAACGTACCAGTTAGTACTACGCTTGGATTGACAAGTGAACCACCACACACTTGCTGAAGCGTGCCATTAGCAGAATATCTGTATATTCCCACATGCCATGGAAATTCACCAACTTTGGCTTCCACTCCATTTGAAATAAATGGTCTTCCTTTAGGATTTCTCTTCCCACACACTGTAAGAACATAAAATTAAAAATTATGTGTATGTATCTACTACAACAGGGCTAGAGGCTGAACATAGACCATGGCACAGATTTTTTCAGTTGACAATAGAAACCTGTGAAATGATGTAAGATGTCCTATATCCATTACTAATGTGGCCTAGTATTTTCAGTACCCTAGCCTATTAACAATATTGCTGGTTCTCTGCACAGTCCATCTTCTTATATAGCTGCTCACCCTGCCTTGTACACCAGTCTGTTCCACTGGTGTGAACACTTTCTAATTGACACTGCAAACATTCACTGAGATGGAATATATAGTTCTCACTCAAGGTTACATAATATAATTATTACAATTAGATGAGACTGACAATAAATTATGTTCTCATTGATAACAAAAATTATACCAGAATTTTGTTCTTCTTAGAGAAGAGTTTCATAACAGAAGAATATGAATGCTTCATATCAACAGTAACAGTGCTTTCATTCTGTGTATGACACCAGCCACAGCAAAAACCTAACAGACAACTGTTACTGTAACTACAAATATGATACATAATGAGAAAGCAAAGTGTCAGATCTTGGATACAAGTCAAGTATTGAGCAAATCTCTGAAAGCATTAAATTTATTACACCCCTTACACATATACATATACACATAAACACATAAAGGAGGAAATTAAGAGGAGATTGAATTCAGGCAATGTTTGCTACCATTCAGTCCAGAACTTCTTGTCTTCTCCTCTGCGGTCTAAAAACATAAAAATTACAATATACAAAATTATAATTTTGCCTGTGGTTCTGTATGGATGTGAAACTTGGTCTCTGACACTAAGGGAGGGAAATACAATGAGGGTGTTTGAGAACAGGGTACTAAGGAGAATATTTGGATCAAAGAGAGATGAAGTGATGGGAGGCTGGAGAAGACTACATAAAAAGGAGCTTCATAACATGTACTCTTCTCCAAGTATAATTAGAATGATCAAGTCAAGGAGAATGAGATGGGCAGGGCATGTAGCACAAATGGGGAGAAGAGGAATTCATATAGGATATTGGTGGGAAAGCCAGAAGGAAGAGACCAGTAGGAAGATCAAGACATAGGTGGGTAGACAATATTAAAATGGATCTTAGAGAGATAGGATGGGATAGTATGGACTGGATCAATCTGGCTCAGGATAGACCAGTAGAGGGCTCTTGTGAAAACGGTGAACCTTCAAGTTCCATAAAATGCTGGGAAGTTCTTGAGTAGCTACACTATTGGTTGCTTCTCAAGAACAGCTCAGTTCTGTGAATGAATGAGTGATCATCAAATTGCTTATACAGGGGAAAACTAAGTCAAAATCACATAAATGTCATTTATGAAATCATATTAAAATCTGATTGGCTGTAACACATAATTATAGTTTCATATACTAGGTCTTCCAGATAAGACAGGTCTCAAGATTTACTTCACAATCCCTCTGAGAAGAACTCTGAAGCAACTCTATTGCTTAGATTTGATAAATCTATATTTCTATTAACTAACTGTTGGCTGAAAATTCATGTTACAGAAGTGAAAGAAAGAGAGAGGGAGAGACTTTACTCAGTGTGTCAAACTATCCTTGAATCAAACACTTCCTACCTATACTGTCATGAAGTACTCGTATGTGAAAGAAATGAGGATGCTATTGTGCATGTCTGTGTTTCAAAGTTCTTCCCCCACATACCAAGATATATTAATCTCCTTCCTGATGACATTAATCTCCTTGCTGGCAGAAATTACAGATTTAAAACCTGAATCTAGAATTGTGTTTTGAAATTGTTTTGAATATTATTCTTATATTCGAACTCATGACATAAAAAATTCATGTCACAAATTTTAATGAAGACCTCAAATACTAAAATTTAATAAAAATTCACGGAGTAGTTTTTGAGCTGAACAATGCTGATGGATGAACAAACTGAAGACACTTGACTCCCTTATTATGCGTTCAGTTTATGCACTTTAGGCAGATACTGCATAAAATCATATGACAGAATACTCTTAAATTTTATACACATTTTCTATACCATACCTTTAGTGACAAGGCACAAACCTAACCACACACCTCCATCCAGTGCTGAGGTTAAGAATGGGTGTAGCTATACTTCCATTCATCCACATGTCTTCATGGCACTGTCCTCAATTAAGTCCAAGAATTACTTTAATTTTTTACCTTCATACCCGTCCTTTGAATACTAGTAAAAATCTATTTATATAAAGTAAGTAAGTAAAGGTATCCCTGTAATGGGCCATGGTTTCCCATAGGGTTGTGAGACATTGAGGTTCCCACATTATCTAAACAATCAGCTCATAGATGGCACCAAGGTTGTCAGCCCTACACATCGGCCGCGCTTTACTCTCCAAGAAAATTATTTAATTAATTCCTGGTGCTCATTTCTGTTAGAGGCTGGGTGAACCCCAGGGCCATAGTGCGGCTGGAAGGATTAGGTCAACTGAAAAAATCCAATGAATTCATTGGGACTTGAACCTGTGACCTTCCGGTTTGTAGCATAGTGCCTCAAACAACTAAGCTACCACGTGACCCCAAACACACTCACTTCAGAATATATGTCATCAACAGAATAAATGGAATGTTTCAACATAAAGGATTTAAGTCCCTCTTAAAAGAGCTAATTCTTTTTTTTTATTTTATCTACTCAGGGACCTTATTATACAAGGTGAACCCATATTTATAATGCCTTATTTAAAAAAAAAGAACTGTATTTGCAATACATTGCAATGATTTACTTGTAAATTTACTTTTCTTCGCATGTTGTAATTATGGATGTCCACATTTTTTGCCATAAAGTTTTTATATTTTTATTAAAATAGATCACTTCAAAAATGTATAGTGCAGCCAATGCTTACTTGCTTACTTACTTACAATTGGAGCTGAGCCCTTCTGGAGGAGCCGCCAATTCTGCAGCTACTCAAGAATTTCCCAGCATTTTATGGAACCCCAAGGTTCATTACCATGCTCACCAGAGCCCTCCACTG